ATAGGGAGAATTCGCTGCACAAATCTTAGGTATAATTTAGTGCAGTGGCAAGGCCAGGACTCAACTACAACTTGAACTCACGGAGGAAAGTGACAGTGCTTCCTAGAGCTCTGTCCTGGCTCATTTATCACACAGATCACTCACTGACAGCCACAACTGTGTGGAATCCATGGTAAAACATATCCCAAGTGGAGACTCTTTAATGTGATATTAACATGAAAAATTCCTGGAAGGGGCTGGAAGGAATAACTAGCATAGACCTGCAAATATTTTCAAGCCAGTAGACTAAAGCGGTGAATAGATACCACTGTGCTGAGATCCATGGAAATTCAGAAAAGAAAGATTTTTTTAACTAAGATATGGAATTGGAAGACTCCTGTCACTCCTGAAGGCACCTCTCAAGGTACCTTCCAATAATCTCTTTGTTCCTTCTGATCTGTCTCCTTTCTATACTGTATACTCTGTGAAGGCAGGTACTTGTTTTAGTCATTATTTCCAGCACCTACAGCAGTGCCCAGCACACAGCAAGTGCTTGATAATCACTTGCTGACTGGAAGAGGGTTTGGTCATGAATCTGCTCTAATTAGATGCCAAGAAACGTCCAGGCTTCTTCTGGATGGCCCTCAGTGGATGGCCTCCATCCAGAAGGAGCTGCAACCTCTTCCAAGAAGAGAAACTGGGCAGGAAACCTTGTACGGTTGGCAGAGGCACCTCTTGGGGAGGTCAGCATTAGCCAGGTGCATGAGGGAGGCAATGAGGAGCCCAGGACGCACTCTGCCTGGTCAAAAACCCACCACATGCCACCTACACAGCTCAGCTATGTCATTACATGCCACAACACCTCAGTGTCTCCATCTTTCAAATGGTTTTTATTTATTTATTTATTTGACAGGTAGAGTTATAGACAGTGAGAGAGACAGAGAGAAAGGTCTTTCTTCCATTGGCTCACGCCCCGCCTCACATGGCTGCTACGGCCGGCGCACTGTGCTGATCCGAAGCCAGGAGCCAGGTGCTTCTTCCTGGTCTCCCATGCGGGTGCAGGGGCCCAAGCACTTGGGCCATCCTCCACTGCCATCCCTGGCCACAACAGAGAGCTAGACTAGAAGAGGAGCAACCGGGACTAGAACCCAGCGCCCATATGGGATGCCGGTGCTGCAGGCGGAGGATTAACCAAGTGAGCCACAGCAGCAGCCCCTCAAATGGGTTTTAAGCATTCCATTACTTCCAGACAAATATCCAGCCTGCAGCCATATAAGGACCCCAAAACCACTGAGTTTTCCCCTGCCAAGGCAACTGCAGGCAGGACCTGAAGTCCAATAGAACTCTAGCAGGCTGGTTTTTAAGTGGATAAGTTTGTATGGCCTGAGAATGATGTTATAAATATCCAAATGGTCCTTGGTAGATAAAAGGCTCCCCACCCCTACAAGAGGAAAAGGAAGTAGAGAGTTGTAGGGACTGCATGAGTGGAGAGAAAGCACAGGTTTTGCTCCCACGTCGACTCCTTTTCGGCAAGGCAATCGACCTCCATGGGCCACAATCTCCCCCTACGTACAGGCAGAAGAAAGTCGAGCCTTCCCCGCTCTACTCTCCTGGAACTCTTTATGTGAGGAAAACGTGCCGATTTTTGAGTTGATGCCTTGTGTATTTCTTTTTTTAGTTGCTTCCCAGGCATTGTAGTAACCTTTCCCATTTAGCACCTTTAAAAAATCACTAGGTTTGCAAAAATTCTGATAAAATTGTTTATAATTAGATGCACTTGTGAACACAATGTGATTACAGCCCGCAGGCAAGATGATTTCCCCACCATTTCAATTATAGTTGGAAATAATTAAGTACTTCCTGTAACATTGAAAAGTACCGTTTTACATCTCAAAATGCAAGTGCTTTAACCAGCTGAAGCAGCGTTGCCCCTTGGAGTCTACTACACGTGTGAAATTATTATTATTCTGATTATCACACCATGATTATAATGTATTCCATTTAGCACTGTAGACTGTATTTGCTAAGTAGTTCTAGATAATTTATTACTTATCCACTCAGTGGTTCTTATACAGCACCTGAGCAAAAAGTTAAGGACAAAATGTTAGCCTTTACTCTAAATAGACTTTATTTTCAATACTCAAAGTTGAGCTTTATTCTTCCTGAATGGAGCTGGCATGGTTTAATTCCTTTCGTCACAATCTCCCTGGATAATAATTCCTTAATTGCTTCTTAGATGGAAATATTAATCACGGGGCAGCTTTTAATAAGACTAAAATTATGGTGTTTCTTATCCCCAAAGGTTAATGGGAAAAAAATGATTCTTCTCTTCCTCTCTTCTCTTTCCTGTTACAAGGCTCGCCTGGCACCAACCAGTCTCCTTTGTGAATTATATTTCAGCCAATGTGTCATTTAGCCTAGGAGCGTCTGAGTTCCTTGAGGAAAGGAACTCATGCCTGATTCTCGTCTGGATTTGCTACGGAAATCTAGATCCAACAACCACCACAGTGTATTCATACAAACATAACTTAGCGAATTCGGGAAATCACCTTGACACTGTGCCACTGCTGCCGCCTTTTGTAGGATGACTCACCAATTGGTTGGTTGTTCAATAAATCAGAGGAGCTTACAAACAGTCTTTAATGAACAATAATTAAACCCCAACCATGAGGTTGATTCTGTTCCCTTCTCTAGAGATCCAGAATAAAAGATGTATGTTTCCTGCTCTCCACCAACTCACAGTATGTTTGGGCAAGACAGATTTATAAAATGTCAGGCTGATTAAACAATTAAACACTTAATAGAGGTGGGAACAGGATCTTTTGTCCTACAGCTCTTGCCCAGCGTGGTCTTCTCGGCCAGGTGCACAGACAGCTGGCAATCATTTTCTCAGTGGAAAGTCTAAAAAATGCTCTTGTGACTCTGTTTGACCAGTAGCTGCTTAAGACCTCTGGAGAAGCTGTTCACAGAAGAGAGAATCAACACGCATAACTGGAGACCCACCGTTCTCCCAACCTTTTGGAAGTGACATGGGCATCATACACACAGACCTTTTAGACAAAACCACTTCCAGGGCTCCAGAGTAAACACAACAAGTGGAAATTTCATGTGCCTTGAGTTTCTGTTGAGAAATGAGAGAGGCAACTGGTGTATATTGCAGGAACTCCACTGAAACACAAGAAACACTGTTTGGGAAAAACTGATTTAGAGAATTATTGAGAAGAGAACATCAATAAGGGTTGTAGAACAAGAAGTAAGTACGGTATAAAATCAAGGGATAAAGATAGGTAACTAAAAAGAAAACAGAAAGACAGCTAGGAGAGACTGTGTGTGTTAGAATTTAAAATTCAACAAATAAAATTCAACAAATGTAGAAAAGGAAGAACTCAAAAATTTGTGTTGATTATGAATTTGGAAAAAGTATTAACTTTGAGTTTCTCCTGAAATCACACACTAAATAAATTTCTAAATGAATTATAGAGCTACATATTAAGATATTAAGTTCCAATTATGGAAAAATGAGACTATAAAATTGAATATCAAGTATGTAAATTTAGAAGTAATAGAAGAAATCACAATGAATAGATCATCAGATTTAATTACACGCAATTAAAGTTTTTGCATAGCTAAAGAGCCAAAATAAAAAAGGCAGATGAGAAAAGAAATGCTTCTGTAAATATATCTTTAGGAAAAACAAAGAGGTAGTGATTTTACTCTGGATCAAACAAAGGAACATCAATCTAAAAAGGAAAACAATTAAATAGTAGATGAATAAGTAAAATATTCTCAAAAGAATAAAAGGTATTATTATCATTATTCTATTATTCTGTTTATTATTTTAAATAACATTTAGCAGTGATGACTCTGGAATTATACGCATATTACTCTGAGCATTTTTGTAAAAGCTACTTGATAATGTATTCAATTCCCAAGTTAAAGACATTTATGGGGAGAGAGGCGTTGTGACGCAACAGGTGCAGCCACCACTTCTTCCCACATCCCACATCCCAGTGTCTGTTCAAGACCCAGCTACGCCATATTTCAGATCCAGCTTCCCACAAATGCACCTGGGAGGCAGCAGATGATGGCCCAAGTGCTTGTTCCCCTGCCACCCCCATGGAGACCTCAGAGACTTCAGTTCAGCTTTGGTGCTCTGTGTTGTGTCGTGAAAACCACCTCTGACTTCCTCCCATTCTCTGCCCCTTCCTTTCTCCCTCTTTATAGACGAGGCAATTGAGAGTCAAGGGTAGAAGGCTGCTTGGGTGCTGCATGGGAGACTGTCACGAAGACACAATCCCAGCCCCTTAATACTTTTTCTAAAAGTAACCTGTTTGTTGGAAAGGCACAGCTCACAACATGCAATCACAAGGAAATGGTCATGCTTAAATGCAGTTAAAACATTTCCTAAGGAAACAAGATTCATCTTGGACCTCTCCCTCTTTCTCAGAAACCCCTGCAAACTGCCCTCCACATTCTCCAACCTTCTCCAAAGGCTTAGCACACAGTATACACTCAGTAAACATTTGTTGACATTGATTCTACTGCAATGTGCTCGTTATATTAACAGCAGTTACCACAACAGTTGTAGTAATGATTTCTAAAACTTGTTGCACAAGGCCCTCTGTGTCATCTCGAACACAAGGATCATCACAGACATTGTACAGATGAGAAAATGGAAACCCAAGAGGTAGAAATAACTGACTCAAGGTTGCACAGCGAGCAGGGATCATAGCAAGTTTTGAATTCACAATAACTCTTTTTTTAGGGTATCTTTTTAATTTAATTATAAAATTCCTGCGAAAACCCCCATGAATTATCTGCAGCTGTGATTGGTCAATTTCTTGTTCTGACTTCATGATGCCTCACTGTTTTGAACGTTGTGTTATTACAGAGTCCCTGGCTGGGCTGGGATTGGTCCGTTTCTCGCTCTGACTTCATAAGGCACCATTATGTGAGGGGAGCCCCCAAAAAGTTTATATAGCGGCTGCGGGGGCCTGGGTTTTCATCCGCAAAATAGAGCACTCTTTTGTGATCTGTGTAACTAGGACCCATCTAACCAGCCTTTGCACTCGTTGGTGTTGTTTGTGCTTTTTCTTGGTTGTTGGTTTCTGGGTCTGTTTGGTTTTTGCTTTTTTCCATTTTGTTTAGTTTGTTGTTTTCCTCCTCGTTGTTGTTTTGCCCATTTGGTCTTTTTTTGCAGTTTTCTTTATTTTTGCTTCCCCCACTCTAGTCAGCTAGCACGCTCAGAAGTATCAGTGTTCGAGGATTTAGTGGCTTTTTCTCTTTGTTGTTTTCTACTTTATTGAGATAGTCTTGCGGCTTCGCCTCTAGAGCAGTGAGAGTAGCTGGTGCTGTGTCTTAGTCAGCTGGGCAGTCAGGCCCCCGTGGTCCCTTTGTGTTGTAGGCAGTGCAGTGTGGGTCGGTGATTAGCTAGCGTGTGTCGAGCGAGTTAGGGAGTCGAGAGAGCATAGCTAGGTGACCGGCAGCATGAAAGGCCCCTGGGAAGTCCATCCTCCTCTGGACAGGTACGACTTCCTATATGTGCTCGGCCGGGGCGGCTTCGGCCTGGTGAAGCTGGCCCGGCACCTGGCGTCGGAAGAGTTCGTGGCAGTGAAGATCCTCCTGCAAGGCGCCTCTCCCAGCAGCCCGCTGTCCGCTCAGAGGGAAGTGGACATTCTGAGGAGCCTGCGGCACGACAACATCGTGCGGCTGCTGGAGGAGCGGCACACGAGGACGCACCTGTTCCTGGTCATGGAGCTGGCGACCGGGGGCTGGCTCCGGAGCTATGTGCAGGAGCAGGGCGGCCTGGCCGAGGACGAGGCCGGGGCCCTGTTCGGCCAGGCGCTGGCCGCCGTGAGCTACTGCCATGGCCAGCGCGTGGCGCACCGGGACCTCAAGCTGGGCAACCTGCTGCTGGACGAGCACATGAACATCAAGCTGGCGGACTTCAGGCTGAGCCTGTGGCTGGAGCAGGGCACGCTGGTAAGGGGCTTCTGCGGGACCCCCCAGTACTGCGCACCTGAGGTTTTCCTCGGTGAGGACTACAACGCTTTTAAGGCCGACGTGTGGAGTCTGGGGGTGGTGCTGTTTGCCATGCTGGAGGCCACGGTGCCCTTCCACGGCAAGGACATGGACAAGCTGCAGAACCGGGTGCTGCGTGGCACCTACGTGGTGCCACGTGGCATCAGCCTGGCCCTGCAGGACGCCTCGGGGAGGCCCAGTGCGGAGGACGCCAGGACTCACTCGTGGTTCAGCCCTGGCCGAGAAGCCGCCCAGGAACACGAGGAGGGCGTGGTCACCCCGCTGCAGCCCCTGGGCGTTCCCCGGGACCCGGAGGCCAGGGAGTACCTGGCGGGACTCGGGCTGCTGCCAGGCATGGGGACCGAGGGGACGCCAGGCCCTCAGCCCCAGGATCCCGCGTCCCTGCCCAAGTCCTCACAGAGCAGCAAGCGGCCCCTCATAGAGGACTACTGCTTGGCTCTGGTGTCGAGGTCCCATGACAGCATGGCCGACGTTTCCTCCGCACAAAGCGACTCCTCCGAGGCCTCCAGTGAGTCTTGTCCTCCCCCTGCCTTGGGGCCTCCTGTAGCTGAGCCCAAGGCCCCGAGGTGATCCCACTCTTGACTCTCCTCTACCAGGCCAGCCACAGCAAGAGAGGAGCCCTGCTCCCAGTGCAGCCCCCGACTCCTCCAAGCCCTCCAGTGAGTCTTGCCCTCTCCCTCCCAGCCCCAGCCATCTCGGGTACTCTTGTGGCTGAGCCCTAGGCCCCCTTGGTGACCCCTTCTTGACTCTCTCCTACCAGGCCAGCCACCGCAGGAGAGGAGCCCTGCTCCCAGCGCAGCCCCCGAGCCAGCCTCCAAGGCGTCGCCCTCCAGCCCCAGTGCCAGGAGCCGTGTGGACCTCGCAGAGCCAGAAGCCGCCGCAGCTGCCCGTGAGGGGAGCTGGGACCGCAGCCACCGCTCACACCACAGCCAGCGCCCAGGGCAAGAGGCAGGGCCGGCACAGGGTCGGCAGGAGGATCCTCTGGTTCCTACTGAGGGCGTGCTGCATCCTGCCGTCCCGAGGGAGCAGCCCTGGTCACTGCTGCCACAGAGCGGCCCCCAAGTAGCCTCGCTCCGCCCCCCCCCCTTCACCAGGAGCAATGCACAGGCTGAGCTCACTGAATGTTTTTCTTTTCTTAAGCATTTGCAAATGCTTCTCATGAATAAAATTCAACTTCCTGTGTGGCTTTGGTCCCGTGTGATGTTTGGGTCCCTGTGTGCACCATGGGGAGGTGATGGAGGTATGGGCGGTATTGTCTTTCTCATGGAAAGACAAACACTGGGCGATCACCCCGTGTGGGGGTCACAGAAGGGGTGACCTCGTAGAAGTAGAGCACAGAGTGACGCCTCCCAGAGGCTGGGTGGGAGAGAGGGAGGGAGGGGAGTCACTCGTCCACATGGCACAGGCCCACGAGGGTCGGGGTCTGAGGTCTCTGGCACAGCAGGGAGGTCCCAGTCCACAGAGCTGAGCATTGCAACAGAGCTGTCAGTGTCCTATCCAACACCTCCTGTGTCGTCAAGGGAGAACACGACCCCATTCTCCTGAGGGCCATGCACCTGGCCTCATGGGGTCTGGGATCTACCAGCTCTGCAGTCCAACAGCTGCAGGTGGAGCCAGGCAGGACGTCCACACTGCTGTGTGCCCGACCTGCCCAAGGTGAGGCCCACATGTAGCAGAGGACGCAGGCAGGACGAGACCTGGTTGTTAGTTCAGGAGGCCCCTGGCAGCGAAGTGTCCCCAGCACCTACACCTGACACCTGGGAAGGTCTCAGGCCTTCGGTAAATGCCTTTAGCAGGGTTTAATTTCAGGCATCACAAAGACAGCATGCTCTTCACAATAACTCTTAATCAAAGCCACACATATAAAACGGTTCCTGCTTTTCCCATCAAAAACTGTTGAATGTCCTTTAAATTTGCTCGGTGGGATTCATCTTTTAATCTGCCCCCAGGATAACTTCCCTAGTCCTTTCTGGTTATCATAAAGTCCTCAAGTCATTGGAAATTGCGACACACAGTCCTGATTGACACATTAGAAGATCTGGCTCCACATGGTAATCAGCGCTTCATCTCTTTTTTATTTATTTAATGAATGCATTTTTGCATAGACACAACTTTAGGAATACAGTGTCTCTTTCCCCCATGCCCCTCACCCCACTCCCATCCCATATCCCCTTCCCTCTCCCATCTCTTTCCTTATGGATCATTTTTAGTATGACTTTATATACAGAGGACCAACTCCATGCTAATCATAGATTTCAATAATTTGCCCCCACACCCACACACAACTTATAGAGTACAGTTTGGGGAGAGGATTTGCAGTCGCTTCTCATATTGCAATTCAATAGGGACAGAGGTCTTACCTGGGGAGCAAGTGCACAGTGACTACCATTGTTCCTGTAACAATTAACACTCTTTTTTATGACGTCAGTGATCATCCGAGGCTCTTGTCGTGGGATACCAGGGCTATGGAGGCCTTTTGTGACCACAGACTCCGTCGTTATTTGGACATGGCCATAAGCAAAGAGGATGTTCTCCTCCCTTCAGAGAAGAGTGTCTCCTTCTTTGATGACCCTTCCTTTCCTCTGAGGTCTCGCAGAGATTCTCCGTGTAGGATTTTTTTTTCCACAGAGTCTTGTCTTTCCATGCCCGAGATGCTCTTGCAGGCCTTTCAGCCTGACCAGGAAGCCTTATGGGTTGATTCTGAGGTCAGAGTCAGCACTTCATCTTAATTTGAAAATAAAATTTACCCTCTCCTCTGCCAGGGTTTTTTTTTTTTCTTCCAGCTCTAGCAATTTTTCTTAGCTAGCAATTGTCTCCTTTTATTTATTTTTTTTAGTTTTTTAAATATGGAACTTTCCCAGCATATACAAATGTCACCAGAACAGTAGCACAAACCCATCAGTCACCTTCAGCAGTTGCAACCTCATCAACTCCCAATCCAGCTGGTTTCAATAGTCTCCCCCCAGCCGTGGCTGCCTGGCTGCCTTTGTCCATTCTGTGGCTATAACAGAATGCCTGAGACCAAGTCTCTTATACGGAGAAGAGGTCTATTTCAGCTTAGGGTTCTGGCCGTAGAAACCCAAGAGCTTGGTGCCAACCAGCACCTGCTCAGCACATGGTGAGGGCCACGTTCTGCTTCCATTCATGTCAGGAAGTGAATGGGCAGGCAACAAGCAGGAGGGGCTACCTCCCTTTATAACAGTTTGCTGTCTTGCAAACAAACCCACTCCACAAAACAGGTGTTAACTCTCCTTAGTGATCTAAGCACTTCCTAAACACCCCACCTCCCAGCACCATCACAGTGGCAACCAGATTTCAGCACGAGTTTGGGAAGCAGCAAGCTATCCTCCAAACACAGCATGGATATGAGCCTGCCAGGGCTGACCCCAAATGTGGTGCTTTCGTATGCTCATTACTTTGAATAGGGGCACTCGGGAAACAGCAGCTGCAGGCTGCCGCTGGCTCTGAGCTCCTCTGCCTGAAGATGAGTCTCCAAAATGAGCTCCAGGGACATGAAAACCGACCCCAGGAATCTCATCGAACCAGGCAAGATGAACTTCCAACACTGTGCCCAGACTGCACAGCACCTTTCCTAAGGCCACTCCCACAAACTTCTTCCACCATTTTCTCTGCAAAACAGGATAATACATTTCTTCCTCTCAGCTTTCCTTAATGTGTGCTGGCACCACCCTCTGGAAGCCCCAAGCCCCTACCTCCTCCTGCAGCTCTGGATGCTGTCTAAGAATCAGTCATCTGACCCTTTCCTTCTTCATAGCTCCCATGTGGTGAGAGCCCAGTGCACATGTGCATAATTAAGTACGGCTTTCCTCCTGTCAATCTGTTTTGAGTCCATCTCATTTGTAACCCAGCCAAAGAACCTGGAAGGGTGGAAAGAAGCCGCTTTTTTTTTTTTTTTTCCCTCCATGACAGCAGAAACACCATGCAGCAGAGGCCCTGAGTTCCAAAGAACTCACCTTCTGGTAGGGAGACTGGTGAGAAAACTAGTGTAGCAACCATGGCCTCTGGCTGACTCTGTAATGTGAGAAGGACCCCAAAAATACACTGGAAAGAGGAAAAGTCACCTTGGGAAATCCACGTCATCTGTCTCTACTTGCGTTGCCTCGCGTCGAAAATTACAGCTTTCTTCAGGGAGATGTGAGGATTCAGGGAACTGATAGGAGGAAACATTTGGAAAATGCAGAGTGTCATAAAATGAAAGGAATTGGGTAATACTTGAATAAATTATACGTTCATACTCTATAGTTATCATTATATCTTAATGGTTACACTAGCAATGCAACATTATCCCTTTAACATTATATGTGTATATAAAATTCTTCACAAAACACAGCCACTCTTCCAGTAAATCCTGCCAGCGATGACTTCAGAATCCATCTGGTCTCCCTATGCCTCCCTCCACTCCTGCTGCAGCCACCCTAGCCACTGGGGGCCAAGCCTGCTGCAGCGACCCTCTCCTCCCCTGCGCCCACCATAGCCCAGAGTCAGCCCTTCGTATGAGGCGATCTCTTTCTAATTGTGGTAAGATAGTAGATGATCCTTTTCATGTTGTTTCCATCAATATTGAAGCATAACTGGCAAATAAGAGTCATACATATTTTAGGTGTTTGGGCATACTGAATTCATTATGAAATGATCACCAGGATCAAGTTACCTAACCTGTCCACTACCTCACACAGTCAGCCTTCCTTTGTGTTTGGGGTAAGAACCCTGAAGGTCTGCTCTCTCGGGGGTCAGTGTTGGGCACAGTGGTTAAGTGGTTAAGATGCTGCTGTGGCGTAGCAGGTCAAAGCCCCAGCCTGCAGTGGTGGCATCTCTTATGGGCACTGGTTCAAGTCCTGGCTGCTCCACTTCCAATTCAGCTCCCTGCTATGGCCTGGGAAAGCAGTGGAAGATGGCCCAAGTCTTTGGACCCCTGTACTCCACATGGGAGACCCAGAAGAAGCTCCTGGCTCCTGGCTTCCGATCAGCTCAGCTCTGGCCATTGCAGCCATCTGGGAAGTGAACCAGCAGACAGAAGACCTCTCTCTGTGTGTCTCTACCTCTCTCTGTAACTCTGCCTTTCAAATAAATAAAATAAATCTTAAAAAGATGCTGCATCCAATGTCAAAATACCTGGGTTCAAGTCCCAGGGCAGCTCCTGATTCTAGCTTCCTGCTAATGCACACCCTGGGAGGCAGTAGGTGATCACTTAGGTACTTGGGCCCCTGCCACCCAGGTGGGAGACCCAGATGGAGTTCCTAGCTTCTGGTTTGGGTCTGACACAGCCCTAACTAGCCCCAGCAGTTGCAAGCATTTGAGGAGAGAACCAACAGGTGGGAGTTCCTCTCTCTCTCCCCCAGTCTTAGAAAGGTCTTAAAATCTACCTGCTTAGCAAGGATCAAACATACAATACAGTCATTACTGTCACCATGCTATGCATCAGATCTCCAGAATTTATCATCATGCATAACTGAAAGTTTGTGCCTTTGACCAACGTCTCCCCAGTTCCCTTGCTAACCACAGTCCTACTCCTGGGTTCTAACAGTTGATCATTTTTGATTCTACCTATAACTGAGATCACGCAGTGTATTATTTTTCTGTGTCTATCTTATTTTGCTTAACCTAACGCCTCCAGGTTCAGCTACGGTGTTGTAAAAGCCAGGACTTCCTTCTTTGTAAGGCTAACTCAGGTTCCTTAGATGCAGTAGCACCAGGACAGTGTGTCGGATATAACTCCATCCAAGTTGGCGCCTTTATTTTCTGCTGGGTGCACAGCCATTGGCCCCCCTCTCTCCTCCCTCCAACCTAAGAATCCTAAATCACTGACTCCAGTGTCCCTTTTTGTCCCACAAGAAAACCGCAGCACAGGCACCCAGCTGCCCGCCCCTACGCACCACTTACACTCCTGGATGTCTCTTTATGGAAGTTAAAGTGCTCAGAAGCTGAGAGAGGCACAAATGTGCAGATAGCGCTATTGATTTTTCTCTCCTCCAAGGTACCAGGCTGCCAAATTGTGTGGCTACAAAACAGGTTAAATGGCCTGGCAGGGGGCCCCTGCACGGCTCTTCCTAGTCCCTTCACCTCCCCTTGCAGCTCACAAGATCTCCACCCACCCATGTCACCCTCCACCTCTGAGGATCTCTGAGACTCCGGATGCTGCCTTTCTTTAAGCTGGAGAGAAAACACAAGCAAATAAAATTCAGGCCCCTAGAACGTTGCTACAGCAACCAGCAGGGGC